AAGGCCCACTAAACCATCAGCTTCTCTTACAGAAGCGTCCCGGCACAAGCGCGAGCAGCTCTACGAAGCGGCTCACCACGTGAAAGATTGTTGAAGAGCAACAATGATATTTTGGAGTAAGAGAAAAAGTGCGTGACATCATCATCATCTGCAGTCACGAAAGCTTTAAATCGAAATTTAACCGCCTCTACGGGGAGGGTTTCCACATAACTTTGAGATCCTTCAACAAGCTCCGTGATAAGAAGGCTCAGCTAATTGAGTCTCTCACCTTTCTGAAGAGATGCCGCGACTCTAAGGTAATACCAAACGCTTTTACACTAACATCTGCTGCTGTAACTTCTTCTAGTTGAGTAACTGCAGCTACATATCATTAACATTCCTTTCCTTTGTTACTGCTAATCCCTGCACCCCCCCCTTGGTGCTGTTGATCCTGCATAATGCATGGGCATAATATGACTTTGAAACCCCCCCGCCCACCTCCTACGTATTTTCCATGAATATGCTAAATTCCTCTTCATATGCACATTCTTTTGTTAAGGCGCTCTTCTTCCACCTCCAACGCAGCTTTATATAAGCTCCTAGCTTGGCAGTGTCTCATTCTTCACCTGAAGACGGCTGCTTGCGTTGTAGCCGAAACGTCGTGAGAATTATTTTATTTATTATGTTTTATTTTTATTATTTTATTACTTCCCTTCTACGTGACTTTACCGAAAGAACCAAGAAGATCATCATCATCATCAGCATTGTTTAACCTGCCGCGCCGGGAGATCAAACGGCACTGCGAGTCTGGTGCACTCACCGTCTTGACACGCGTGACAACGACGGCAGATCTCATCTTGCCTGCTGCCCTGGCCTGCTCAGTTCGCTTGGACGGCATCACGCCCGACACACTTGCGAGCAGCTCTTCGTCGACCTAGCGTATAAACGTGAATATCAATGAACACAAAATCACGCAAAGATCCTGCAATTTAAAACATTTATTCGGCCTTGCCGGAATACGAGTGCATTGTACGAGCAAATCGACATTTGCATTTTTTTTATTTTGGGAATTCAGAAACCCGTCCCTTGGTCACGGGCATGCTTTGTGAGCACTCTCCGTCTCTGGCACATCCATCCTACGTTCATTGAACAAATGCTCCAAGCTCGTCAAGACGTCTATTCCACCTTCCCACATCCAGTGACCCTTTGAATCTGATTGATGGTGATGGAGACTCGCATTAAACTGCAGAAGTGATTTTAGTTTTTAAATTGTAAATTTTTTGTTTAATGTTATTGTCAAATGAATGGCTTAGATTACAATGACATAGTTTATTAGATTACAGCAATTATTTAATTATCTGCGGAAAAACTCTCCCCCCAGTTGGTCGAGCTCTGAGTTTCACAGCGCACCGCACATTAGGAGAATGCTTCTATCCAGCCGTGAACATCCACACATGACCCAATCATCCCTAGCGCTCAAGCGAGCCGCTTTGTCCCTACGAGAGTGGATCGAGTCCCATTGCATCGTCCAAAGAATTTCAATCAAAGCAGTCGCATTACTCACCGTAAAATCCATGCTGTCCGAGCCCTCGGAGTCCGACAGATGCAAAACTTTTCGCTTTTTCTTCACGACCTCCCCCATGGCAAGGGGCTTGCGGATGCCGCCCTTGTAAGGCGACTTGGCCACTGTCACCGGTGCGAGCAAAGGTGGAGTCTTGCAGATCGCACGGACACACAAACAGAGATCCCCCAGTTAGGCCTGCAGGCTTGCGGGAGTGCCGTGCTGATCGCAAACACCTAACGTCAGCGCTTAGCCCAGCGGGGTTCATTGAACAAGCCTGACTGATGACTAAGACTCAGGAGGTAAAAACTGGTCCAGATCTTGGTAGCTTGGATGAATACTGCTGAATAATATTGGTCTGGAATGCCAAAAGGCTGATGGCAAATACAAATGATGTGTGTACATGTGTAAACACAGAATGGAGGTGTGTGTACATACATTGTTACCCATAAGGTTCCACAATGAAACACGAGTCTGAATAGATCATCAATTTCATGTGTGTGTTGCAGAGATGTCGCAGACACTAGACCACGTGGATTTTCAACGAAGAGTGCCGAGTTTTAAAAGTGCCGAGTCTGGGGGCCCCGTCATAAGAATGTGGAATATCCACTCGTGGCTTTGGGAGCGAGCCTCCTCACGCATGCCTGGCCAGCGCAGCGCACGAGGGGGGTTGCTGTGGCCAGCACCCCAGTGCTGACGTGGACACACTCGGCCAGGCACTGTGCGTCAACACAAGGTCCACCGTTTGATTGTCAGGACCATGTAAGATAGTGTATTGTGAGGATGTATCCGGCTCAATGACGTATCACGACTCGTCACGGTGATTGGCTCTGCCGGTCCTGGTCCATAGCCAATGGGGGGAAGCCGAGTGGCGTGGCCCTGACGTGATGGAAAGGTGACAGCTGTAAGTAGGGGTACAGGTAGGGTACGGGTAGCCGTTTGCAACCCTGGTGCGGCCGGGTACGGGTAAGGAATCAAAACCCGTTTGCGACCTCTGCTCTACGTACCGTGTGAGCTGTGGAGGTGTTACTGCTGCTGGCTTGCGTACGATGGTAAGGTTCACGGCTGCTCTGGCAGGGATAGGCGCTGGGTTCGTGAGAACCCCCGCTTGGGTTCAACAGGTCATCCACATTGCCGTCATCCGAGATGTAAAACCTGTCTCGATCTCCATTGGAGAATACTGCCAAGGGTGGGATTGGCGGTGGTAAAATGTTCAAAGTTCAGTTGAAATTAATACAGTATGCGGTATACAGGCACACGTACGCCAGCCCGTTGAGATTCGCATGTAATTCATATAAAGTATCCTGCCTATGAGCTACAAGGCATTACATTCCAAAGACTTAATTCTATGGGAATTCAAATGTTCAAACTGAAAAATATTTGGTCATTGGCTGTTGGTGACAAGGTCCACAAACAGCAAACATGAATTTAAATGACGTACACTGGAAAGCATTTCCACAAAGCATGTATACAAACTTCCAGCAAATCTCATGCATTGTAAGACTTCAAATGCCTCCTATGTGAATGTGACTCAAACACAACCACATTCTTATTCACAAAGAAACCACAAGTGTTTGTCAACTTTAATATTTTTTTTACAATTATGTTTTTTTTACTTGTGCAGCCCACTGTCAATGGATTCCCTTGATTGTTTTTGTATTCAGGCAATCTCCCACTGCACGAACATAATTACTTTTAAAACAAATACAGGTGGTAACAAACAACAAAACATAGTCTATTCCAAATATCCAAATACATAAAGTTCGATTTAAAGCTTTCGTTACTGCAGGGATTCATATTTCTTGGTTATTTCGGTAAAGTCACGTAGAAGGGAAACCATCAAATAATAAAAAAAAACATAATAAAATAATTCTCACGACGTTTCGGCCACAACACAAGTAGCCGTCCTCAGGTGAAGACAGGTCTGTCGAGGCAACAGCGTCTAAAAGAAAAAAAAAAGAAAAAAAAACGCTGTTGCCTCGACAGACCTGTCTTCACCTGAGGACGGCTGCTTGCGTTGTGGCCAAAACGTCGTGAGAATTATTTTATTATGTTTTATTTTATTATTTTATTACTTCCCTTCTACGTGACTTCACCGAAAGAACCAAGAATATCCAAATACATAGTTTAGTAATTTAGAATAATATAGTTTTATAATAAAATGTATACATTAGCATGTATTGTTCTTACATTTTTAAGGAGCAAGAAAGTTAATTTGGCCCTTGGCACAGAACATGAATCGTGTGGCAAATAGATTTTGACCCGAGGTCTTTCTGGATCGATTTTTCAAAATGTGCTTCGCATGTCGGGTCATTAGATTATTAAGAGAACAACATAATAATCATTGAGCTGGTAGTGTACACGATTCTCTGTGTGTTTGTTCACTCACCAAAACGCCGACGATGAAATGGGAATCCACCCATAGCTCCAAAAAACATCATGTTCAATAAATCCAGTATGTCCTCCTGAAAAGGTACATCATACAACGAGACGATAACATTGACTCATCAACCACAACACATTTTTTTAAAAATTTACGATATTAGAGTATAAGTGTTGCATTACACGCATTCACATTCATTTTATCGGTGGCTTACCAAGCTCATGTGAGCCTCCGTTTTCTCCGCAGCAAGGAGTTGGTATGCTCCTGTAGCTTGCTGAAATCTCTGTATTGTACAAAAGGAAATTTAAGTTTTGACAGAGGTTGAACACCTTCGACGAAACGATGTCCATTATTCCACGTTGTGTTCAGCTTTCGCAACTTGTGGGATTGAACAACGTCAATGTCTGTCAAGTGCGTCAGGGGCTTGGCAGCCTGTGATTGTGACACCACAGAGGTCGCACACGGGATTTGATTCGATAATTGTTTTTTTCCCCTTCTATCTGGCAACAAAACTGACACCTTTTTACAAGGATTCCTGTTTGCATAGACCACAATACCTGCAGTCATGATAAAAAAACCACAACTCTGATAATGTATGCACTGTCCTTGAAGTTGATTGGTCCACACCCAAGACAGCTTTCCTTAGAGCCTAGTCTCACAAGGTGTTGGACCAGATGATGCCAAAAGGCGCACAACTCAAAGACAATGCACCATCAGAGTATGAGAGCTCGGGGTAAGCATTTAGACCATTGGAACCTCATTTGCCAGTAAAAATATGATAATTGTTTTTTTTACCCTTCTATCTGGCAACAAAATTGACACCTTTTTACGAGGAGTCATGTTTGCATAGACCACAATACCTGCAGTCATAATGCAAGTAACGTTGGGTTGCTCGGTCAACGGCCTGCAGGGTCAACGGCGGCGTGGTGTATTCCGCAAATATGCCCGACTGTGAGGGCGGGCACAAGCCGGCGTGAGTAGGTGAAACGTTGAGTTTTATAAGGGCACCACGGGGTGACCAGCCCCTCCCCACCCAGCCCCTCCCCTCCCCACCCCCCCACCCAGCCCCACCCTCCCCACCCAGCCCCTCCCCACCCAGCCCCACCCTCCCCACCCCAGCCGCTCCCCACCCAGCCCCTCCCCACCCTCCCCTCCCCACCCAGCCCCTCCCCCACCCTCCCCACCCAGCCCCTCTCCATCCAGCCCCTCCCTCCCCACCCAGCCCCTCCCCACCCTCCCCTCCCCACCCAGCCCCTCCCCACCCAGCCCCTCCCCACCCAGCCCCTCCCTCCCACCCAGCCCCTCCCTGCACGACGGACACAATAATCCCCTGTGGGCTGGTGTAACCAGGCTGGTCCCTACCAGTATCAATGTACAATGCTCAAAGTGCACAAATATGACAACGATGCTGATATTTAGAACCAGTACAATGCTGTTCAATTGTATTTCACTCAGCATGAGTGAACCATCAGAAAATGTCAAATACTAGCAGCATACGTTCCATCACATTAATATCAAATATACCAAACACTCCTTGCTACTCACAATGGTAGCAGTGTCACTGCTGTGATTATTCTTATCTGAATGCCATTCCAGAGCGAGCTTCTTGTATGCGGATTTAATTTCTGCTTCAGGGGCTCCTGTGCATGACAACTAGCTTCCATTAAACACGTGGCACACAAAACACCGCTCAATTACATACATTGACAGATCCGTATAATGACACATTTGTACATTTCAATTGGATTTTCTTACGTTGTATTCTTTTTCAAGATCTAATCTATACAACAGCCATAGAGCTCCTTTTCAAAGACGTCCAGAATGCAACAGCAAACAACACGAGTGCAAAGCATTGTACAGGAAATGTAAACAAATCACTTTAAAAATACACAAATACACAAATACAAGCAAACTATTTTTTAAATCCTTTATATTAAGTTCACTCGCTTGCGTGCTTGTGCGCTTACGACCGTGCAAATCTTTCGGTCGTTTTTTAACCCACTTCCCGTGATCCAATCGAGCTGACATTTTGCACACAGACTCGTTGTGCGTGACAATTAATGTTCGTGAAATAAAATTCCAAAATTTTACACTTTTTAGGAAAAAAATATTATATTTAATTACCAATTGCTTAATGGTGCAATGCAATCATCTGACCCATAGGTGGCAGCCATCTCAAGCCAGAGGACGAGAGGACTCTAGCCGCCACGCATATAAAGGATTTATAGTGAAAAACTTTGTTTTTACGGGTTAATTTTTTTGTATCTTACCAGGCATAGACAAACCGAGCTGTTAGCCTCTTTGTCAGAAGCCATGTGGCCACAAATGATAGCCAACAAACGTGGCGATTCAACGCAGCAAAACTATCGCAAACAACACAGAGCACACGTACACATCTGGGCAGATGGTTATTGACGTGGCGTGACGCACATTTCTATCCCGATTAATGACTCGTCTTCTTGGTGCTTTCGGTAAAGTCTCGTAGAAGGGAAATAATAAAATAATAAAAATAAAACATCATAAAATACGATTCTCACGACGTTTCGGTCACAACGCAAGCAGCCGTCCTCAGGTGAAGAACAGGTCTGTCGGAAAGACAGCGTCTGACACTGTCTTTCCGACAGACCTGTTCTTCACCTGAGGACGGCTGCTTGCGTTGTGGCCGAAACGTCGTGAGAATCGTATTTTATGATGTTTTATTATTTTATTATTTCCCTTCTACGTGATGACTTTACCGTAGTAACCAAGAAGATGAATCCCTGCAGTCACGAAAGAAGCTTTAAATCGAGACACATTGATATTTACGCGATCTTACCCAAACAAACAAACATGGATATCGGTCACGAAAGGCCGAGTACTGTACGTGTTGGGAGACAAAGGCGGCCGGGCGTGGTGCTGGCCACCCACCCCCCTCGTGTGCCACAGTGCCGGTAGCCTTCATAGGTGCTCGCTAACAGCACTTGCCCCTACAGTCTGTTAGAGGCTACCTGGGGGACCTTTGTCTGTGTTGCTACTCGCTACTAGCAGCACTTGCCCCTGCAGTCTGCCAAGGCTACCTGGGGGACCATTGTCTGTGTGTCCACGCGACTCACCATTGGGAAGTCCCAGCGCCGTGTAGGCCTCTTGACGGGTCAAGCTCATGTCCGATAGCAACAACAACAACACAAACAACAACAACACAAACAACAACACAAACAACAACAACACTCACTACCACCACCACTCACACACTCTCTACTATATACTAGCAGTGTACAACAACAACACAAACAACAACACAACACTCACCACAACACAAACAACAACACAACAACACAACAAACAACACAAACAACAACCACCACCCTCCTCCGACACTAACCACGCCGAGCGCCGCAGGAGCATCACGTGACTCGGAAACGCCGCTCTCTGATTGGTCGCTGGCAAAAGTATCAGAGACGTCCGCTGATTGGTTCAACGCCGACCACGCCCCTCACACCACGCGGCTTCCCATTGGCTGCTTGACAACTAATTAAAGAAGACTTCCGGCCTATTTAATTAATTGGCCGTTTGGCAATTAATTAAACGTTTAATCAATTACTTAATTAATTAAACGGCTAATTAATTATTTAATTAATTGGCGCTTAATTAATTATTTGTGGTGGGGGTGGTGGTGAGGGTTGTGGTGGGGGGGGTGGTGGGGGTTGTGGTGGGAGTGGTGGTGGTGGGGGGGTTGTGGGGGTGGTGGTGGGGGTTGTGGTGAGGGTTGTGGTGGGGGGGGTTGTGGTGGGGGGGGTTGTGGGGGTGGTGGGGGGGGTTGTGGTGGGGGTTGTGGGTGGTGAGGGTTGTGGTGAGGGTTGTGGTGGGGGGGGTTGTGGTGGGGGGGGTTGTGGTGGGGGTTGTGGTGAGGGTTGTGGTGGGGGGGTTGTGGTGGGGGGGTGGTGGGGGTGGTGGGTGTTGTGGTTGTGGTGGTGGTGAGAGCTGACAAACTCCAACTCTACGGGCGTCAGGATCGGGATTCGAACCCACGCCCTGCACCGTCACGAGCGTTTACATTTGGGAGTGTTGCGAGGGGGGGGGTCACCGATCTACGCCACACACACGGACACTCACACAGACACACACACTCACACACTCACTCACACACACGGACACTGTCAGGAGTCCACGCTCGCTGCAGCGCCCTCTCCTGGCCGTGCACGGCACCTCGGCGTCCAAGCGACGAGACTCTCACATCTGTGCGATCAGGCCAAGCCCCGCGCTCGCCACAGCGCTGCGGGGTGACAGGCGCGCGTCACCACGTGGTTGTCGTTGAACTGCAGCATTCAGTGCAAGTCAACTGTGGACCGGTTGTGGTGTACACTTTATACGTAAATATATAAGCACACGACTTCATTTATCTGTGACGAACGCTGCACGTTCCGTCGCTTTCATGCAGGGGGCGCTGCAAACCTACGCGCCCCCTGCATGAACGACGGAGGCGCAGGGCCAGACGTTCGATCGCGTTGGAATCGATCTGCAGACGGCGGTCTTCTGGCACGGCCAACTCTGTGTCGCCTCATCTCCACCCCGCGATTCCAACCAGGTGAAAGTCCGCATCAAACAGAATCCCCGGCAAGGCCATCTACTTCACGACGAGAGAAAATTCACACGAAATGTCGTTTTCAATGAAGTCTTCCAGATGTAAAATAACAAGCTTTTAATGAAGAAATACAATTATCAATTTCAAAACATAATACAATTCAAAGTTGTTTCATTTTAAAACTTCAAAACGGAGCATGGGGAGCTTGTGTGGATGCGTCGCTCGTGTGCAATTCTTTTTGTAACTTTCCAATCAGCAATGACCATTTCTTGTCCTAATTCGACAAAATCTACGTCAACACGTAATACAAAATTATAATTCGTGTTGTAGAGAATGTTCCTCCTTTTCGTGTAACTTTTAAGCGGTATGCCTTGTAACTGATGAATGATCCGAGTGTGCTCGCTATTTCAAAGACAATGAGTTGCTCCAGAGGGAGATTCTTCCTGAAAACACAAAAATACCCTTTGACCTGTATCACAAGCACAATGAGTCTCACCTGAGTTATCTGTACAGGTTACTTGCAAAACACACACTGTGTCCTAACATCACTTATTCAATGTTTGACCCTTATAGACAAAAGGTTACATGTACGCACACCATCAGACAAGTATTCAGTCTAAATTATTGACAGGCATATGAACAAAATTGAATGACTGCACTGAAATATGCTTTATTAGTTTACATCCTATTAACAAGAAGCTAATTTAAACAAGTAAACCCGTAAAAACAAAGTTTTTCACTCTAAATCCTTTATATGCGTGGCGGCTAGAGTCCTCTCGTCCTCTGGCTTGAGATGGCTGCCACCTATGGGTCAGATGATTGTCTGCCACCATTAAGCAATTGGTAATTAAATATTTAATTTGTTTTCCCTAAACAGTGTAAAATTTTGGATTTTTTTTTCACGAAAATTGTCACACACAACGAGTCTGTGTGGAAAATGTCAGCTCGATTGGATTACGGGAAGTGGGTTAAAAACGAGCGAAAGATTTGCACGGTCCTAAGCAAGCAAGCGAACTTAATATAAAGGATTTAAAAATATATTCGCCTGTGGAGGATGCGGGGATCAATCCCGCGACCTTTGGCATGGGAAGCGAAGGCGCTACCAACTGCGCTACTCCGCCACGGCCTGTGGAGGGGTTACGCTCTGGGCTCTTACACTCTGACGTTCAGCCAAAGCCATGAATGCGCTCTATTTGAATAAATGTAAAATAATTTTTTACCTAAAAAGTGTAAAATTTTGGGAATTTTTTTTCACGACGAGTCTGTGTGGAAAATGTCAGCTCGATTGGATCACAGGAAGTGGGTTAAAAAACGACCGAAAGATTTGCACGGTCCTAAGCAAGCAAGCAAGCACGCAAACTTAATATAAAGGATTTAAAAAATACGCACCGTCTGCTTAACAGTGTATGTACAACATACTAATGCGCCAATCAAAACGAGTCGGCCATTGCATGCTGACATCTGGGTCAAAATGTAGCAAATTCTAAACATTACCTACAAACTCCACAACTGAGATGCCACGTCAACCATCGCCCCCTACTGACAGGCTCTTGTCCACACGCAGGCCGGTGCAGGGCCACCACCTTGTGCCACACAGGGGCAGCTGCCACTTGGGGATGTTTCGAGTGTTTGAGACGAGATACGATGCAAAACTCAGAGTTGCCAGAGGCGATTAAGCAAGCACCATATGAATGCAATTGATGAGAACATAGTGAATGCTTGGGGGCTTGTTGGCTCTCGCTCCTGGTTAGAGATCTACCCAACACACAGGTCCACAAAGACTGGCCGCTCTTACCCTGCAGGTTGAACCTAGGAACTGAGTGTTCAACTTCACATTCTTGTCATTAAAGGCCTGTGACAAAGGTGCATCTATTGGAGCGACATTGTCTCTGGCTTAAACATCTACCGGGTCTCCATTTGACTTCGTGTTGTCTCGGAGGAAGTCCACCCACACCTCCACTTCCACAAACTGCTGGGAGTTGCCTCGCTCTGCCTCAGTCAGAATTCTCCTCCTGCTTCACGTTGCCTCCATCGATGTGAAGGTCCCATTTTGGAGTTGAATCTTCATCTTCACATTTTACCTTCACTTCTTCGCTCTTCACCATCACTTCTTCACATTCCAACGTCACCTTTTCAAATTCCACCTCGATACCTTTAAGTGTCCAAGCTGGGATTTTCCTCCGGTTCTTGTTTGATGAGGGATGGGCTCATTGCGGCACTTTGACTTTCACAAGCTGATTTCAGACTCCACTCTTTGCAGATCTTTTGATGCTTGTGTCTTCTCTGGTGTACTTGAAGATTTGATGACCATGCAAATGCCTTCCCGCAGGTTGCACCTGAAGGGTTTCTCTCACATGTGTGTTCTCTGGTGTACTCTAAGATTTGGTGACTGTGCAAACGCCTTCCCACACACACTGCACTTGAAGGGTTTCTCTCCTGTGTGAGTTCTCTGGTGCCGTGTCAAGTTTGCAGTAGAATCCGTGCTGTATGCACACCGGTCGCATTGATGCCTTGTTGCACCGAGCTGCGCCGAGTGCCTTTGCTCCATCAGACCAATTCTGCAGAGGAAGCAACACCATCTACACGTCAGTATCGAGGCACAGAGGAATGCATATACACAGTCACACGTGTCTTACACGTCTATACTTATTCATATATTTATGATGCAGTGAAAAAGTTTCCCAAATTCATCACACGGGCTGTTATGGCACACAATGAGAGGGTGAATGGTCATAAATATGCCTGGAAGCCCTCGTATCTTCAAAATGAATGTGAACCCAAAACTCCGAGCACACAATTTCGGCTGTCTGGCTACAAAAGAAATATTTATAAGAGCTAAATTCGGCTGACATAGCAAAGGGTGTTGAAAACAATCTATTTGTGTTATGCAGAAATGCGTAAATTAATACTGGTAGGAACCTCCTGGTTACACCAGCCCACAGGGGATTGTTGTGTCCGTCGTGAAGGGAGGGGCTGGGTGGGGAGGGGCTGGTCACCCCGTGGTGCCCTTATAAAACTCAACGTTTCACCTACTCACGCCGGCTTGTGCCCGCCCTCACAGTCGGGCATATTTGCGGAATACACCACGCCGCCGTTGACCCTGCAGGCCATTGACCGAGCAACCCGACGTTCCTACCAGCTCCCTGTGAGGGCGGGTATAAGCCGCGTGAGTAGATTAAACGTTGAGTTTTATAAGGGCACCACGGGGTGACCAGCCCCTCCCCACCCACCCCACCCAGCCCCACCCCACCCTCCCCTCTCCACCCAGCCCCACCCCTCCCACATCTGGATGCACGACGGACGGACGGACACAATAATCCCCTGTGGGCTGGTGGAACCAGGAGGCTTCTAGCGGTGACATTAATGCCGCGTCACTCCACCAAGTAACGAATGGAGGATCAACCGACACAGCCGAGGCGCTCCCCGTGTCTCTCCCTCTCCCCGTGGCGGCGGCGTGGATTTACCTCCTGCCCCCCCCCCCCCCGCGGTGCCCCCCTCCACTCGTTCAGAGTGAACAGCGGCACGCGGCGCTGAGCGCCTGTGACCCACAGACACCGACTCGCGGTGCCGCGTCCAGAGTGAACAGCGCCACGTGTTGACAAGCCTCGCCTTGTTGTTGTTGGCAGGTCGCTTCTGAAAACGAGAGCGGTATAGCAGCTCAAGCGGGCTTGGCCTGGTAACAAACATGAAAAAAAACTGCGTTAATATCTACAATAAACCAAAGTTACAGAGTAGCGAGCCGCGTGAAGACAAATTTATCTTGAGCGAGAGAATTAAACTTGAACGCAGTC